CTTGGCTGCCCGACGTGCATTCAAGCCAAGTTCACCCGGTTTCCGTTCCCTAGTTCGGAGGCAACGGCAAAGGCACCGCTTGATGAGGTGGTGATGGACGTGGTGGGCCCCCTGAAGCTTGGAGCTGCTGGAGCTGAGTATTTTCTCACCATTGTCGACGTCTACACCCGCATGACTTGGGTGTACGTGCTGGCCAAGAAGAGCGACGTGGCTGAAACGTTGAAGACGGATTGGTTCTCGATGGTGGAGCGGCAACAAGACCGTCTAGTCAAGTCAATCCGCACCGATCGAGGGGGAGAGTTCCTGAGCAAGGAGTTTGGGTTGTGGCTGAAGAAGAATGGTATTCGGCACTCCCTCACCATGCCATACTCCCCTGCAATGAACGGCATCGCCGAGCGAGCGAACCGCACAATCACGGAGGCGGCACGCGGGTTGCTCATTGAAGCCGGGCTACCCGACTATTTCTGGCCTGATGCGGTGCGGAGCGCGTGTGTGGCCAAGAACAGAGCCTTGACTCATGTGGGAGCAGACAAATGGGTGCCCTATGTGGAGTGGCTAGGAAGGAAGCCAAAGGTGGATATGCTTCGGGTGTTCGGGTGCATGTGCATGGCGCTCGTGCCTAAGCATCTTCGGCACAACAAGCTTGGTGCCAAGGCGGTGTGGGCCGTGCACTTGGGCATGGCTCAAAACAGCAAGGGATGGCTTCTTTGGGACCCATTCACCAAGAAGTTCTTGGTGAGCAGGGACTGCAAGTTCATGGAGAACTTCATGTACAAGGATTGGAAGGCGGAGAATGAGGCGAAGATAGGCGTGCGGTTTGGGGAGGTGAAGAGTTCCGGTTTGGAGCATGTGGAGCTGCCTTTGGAGCTGAGCAGCGGCAGCACAACCACAAGGCAATCCTCCCTTGTGAATGGGGGAGAGGAGGCCAATGATGCAGAGGAAGAAGAGGAGGAGGTGCAGCAAGTGAGCGAGCGTGCACCGTCACTCCCTTCCCGTACTACGAGTGCTCCACGGATTCGAGCCACACCGCAACAACGCCAAGGCCTTCAAGTCCCTGCAGCTGAGGAGAAAGGAAGGGGGAAGAGGAGATTTCAATCCCCTAATAGGCTGACCTATGATGCGCCGGGAAAGCAGGGCAAGACAGCCCTGGCCGGAGCGGCAATGATGGTCAGAGACGACGAGGAGAGTGACTACGAGGAGTGTGCCTTCGCGTTCTTCTCTCCGGTGGAGATGCCGGGAGAACCAGCAACTCTCAAGGAGGCTTTGGAGAGTAGTGATGCTGAGGAGTGGAAGAAGGCCATGGAGAGTGAGCTGAAGAGCATCGAGGAGAATGACACGTTTGAATTGGTGGAGCTACCGGAGGGGCGTACGGCGATAACGTCCAAGTGGCTCTTCAAAATCAAGTCGGATGCCGACGGCAAGATCAAGCGCTACAAGTCTAGGCTTGTAGCCAAGGGGTACCAGCAGAAGGAGAAGGTGGACTTCAAGGAGCTGTTTGCCCCTGTGGTGAAGCCGACGACGCTGCGAACCCTATTCGCGGGAGCCGCCATCAAAGGATGGGTAGTAAAGCAAATGGACATCGTAACGGCATTCCTTAACGGCATCCTTGAGGAGGAGATTTTTATGGCGCAGCCAGAGGGGTTTGATGATGGTAGTGGCAGAGTGTGGAAGCTGAAGAAGGCCCTCTATGGGCTGAAGCAGGCCCCTAGGCAATGGTACATGAAGCTGCGCGAAGTGTTGGAGGGGATCGGCTTCACTCCCTCAACGGCCGATCACTCCCTGTTCATGCTTGGCGACGGGGAGCAGAGGAGTTTCATGGTGGTTTACGTGGATGACATCCTCATTTTCTCACCCTCTTCTGACCTTGTGAAGGAGGTGATGCTGAAGCTTCAAGACAAGTTCAAGTGCAAGGCCCTTGGTGACGTGAGCTTCTACCTTGGGCTCCACATCGAACGAGATGTGGAGAAGCGGTGCATGCGGGTGCATCAACGAAAGTACCTGGAAGCATTGGCTGCCAACTTTGGGCAGAGTGAAGGCCATGTGGCTACACCCTTTCCCTCTGGGTTCAAGTGTGTGAAGGGACCAGAGGAGGAGAGCGTTGGTGAAGAGGAGAGGCGCCGATTTCACTCGTTGGTGGGCAGCCTCATGTATGCGGCGGTAAACACCCGACCGGACGTCGCGTTTGCTACCGGGCAGCTGGCTAGGGTTGTGCAATGCCCTAATGAGGAGCAGGTAGCAGCTGGAATGAGGGTGGCCAAGTATCTTGGCCAAACACCGACCGTTGGGCTGCAATACTCGGCGGCGGCACAAAGGCGCCAAAAGGGCGCGGATGGTGTTGAACCCGGGCGTTTGTTCCTCACCGCCTACTCGGATGCTTCATATGCATCAGAACCAGAGGACATGACAAGTGTGGGAGGCTTCATATGCTGTGTTGGTGGAGGCCCAACTGCTTGGGAGAGCAAGAAGCAGGTTGACCAAGCTTTGAGCTCGGTGGAGTCCGAGTACATGGCACTCTTCCGTGCCGTACGGGAGATTGTGTGGCAGCGGCGTTTGTTGGCTGAATTGGGGGAGGAGCAGCAAGGACCTACCCCACTGTACTGCGACAGCCAGGGTGCCATTGCTCTTGCTAAGAACCCTGTGTTGCATGGACTCACGAAGCACATGAGGGTGAAGTGGCATTGGACGAGGAGCATGGTAACCGCGGGTGAAGTTCAGTTGCGCTACGTGAAGACCACGGGGCAGCCGGCTGACATGATGACCAAGAGGCTGGTGGAGCAGCAGCATTGGAAGTGTTGCAAGCTGGCTGGGATGGCTCTGAACTAAGAGAGCAACATATCCTAAGGCCAACAATCCGAGGGGGAGTTTGTTGGTGCAACCCTACGGTTTGCACTCGGCTTGTTGTCCGTGTGCGTGAATGTGTGTGTGTATGGAATGGTATGAGGGCATGGGATAATATATATTTCATGCTTATAATTGTGTGTGAATGTTGAGTCATGATGTCGAGTGTGTGTGTCGAGTCAATAGCGAGTTATCGCTAGACGCGTGTTACGCGGTCGTTTGTGTCTCGCGCGCGGTTTCTACTTTGTCGTGCGCGGTTTCTATTTTGTCCTGTGTCGAACGTTCGGTGTGTCGCAGGTGTGTGCAGCAGACCCATCAAGAACTCAAGGATGAGTTTGTGATGAAGAACCCGAGCCTTGGTGTCAAGCCTCAAGTGATTTCGAAGCTTGCCAAAAGGGTACACCTCAAGATATTGAAGATAGTTACATTACTTTGTGTAGTGTAACATTTCACTTGGTGTAGGCCCTAGTGAAGGGTAGTTTCGAGACCCTTCGTGGTTGGGGACAGTGTGGCACTGTTCCACATCACTGTACCTCGGCTCTTGGGGTTTGTAGGAGCTGGGAGTCATTCCCAACTCGTAACTCTTCCTATCTTGTGTTCTAAGACTATAGTGGCTGCCATAGTACCGTTCGTTCAAACCGACGCTGTGTCGTCAATTCTTTATCAAATCGTGCAATCTAAATTGCTAATTCTAGACGACGTGAAGACGCTCCAGATCCAATTTGAATCAAGTCATTTGCAGCTGTGAGCAGAACGCTATCAACGTTTGAAGCCGCTGTGCAGAAATCCGTCTGTGCTCTCTATCTTTCGTTTTAGGCACATTCAAGCCTATTGTGACTATAACAAATGCCATGCGCACAACAATTCGCCGAGATTCTGCAAGCTGCCCGCACCAGAGCCGCAGAAGCAATTAGAAAAGCCAACGTCATCGCAAAACGAAACGCTGACCGCCACCGCCGCCTAGTCACGTACCAGTCAGGGGATTACGTACTGCTCGACACACGGAACTTAAGACTGCCCGTCGTACCGAAATTACGACCGCGCTACTGTGGACCATTCCAAATCAGCCACATGATCACCCCAGTTACCGCCCATTTGCTGTTGCCGACAGAATGGTACATCAGCCCATCGTTCCACGTCAGCCTAGTTCGCCCTTACATCCCAACCACGAGCCAACTGCCTCGTCACCGCCCGCCATTCATGACTCGCACTGCATCGGAGCCGATCATTGAGCCCGAAAAGATTCTGAGCCATCGGATTCGACACCCCACAGGCATCAAGAGGACCGAGTTCCTCGTTCGCTGGAAGGACCGCACGCCAACTGAAGATAGCTGGGTGCCCCTGGCCAACATCGAAAACCACCCTGCCTTGCAAGTGTACCGAAGGAGCCGGGGTTTCCGCGACATGCATGCACTCGCGTAGCGGAGGGGGCTTCTTGAGGGGGGGGGGGGGTAGTGTAAGGAATTTTCTCGACATTCCTTACCGCGACCATCAACATCACGTATAGCAGCAGCCTTTGTTCGCCCGTTACTGCTAACGGGACTTCGCCAATTTCGCGCGCACTATTTTACCAAACCATGCACCGCTGGCCTGGCCGAGTCGGCCTACGCTTCGGGACTAGCCCGAACCTCGATGCCAGCCTAGCACTAGCTAGCTCGCATGCACCGCGTAACCGTTGCATGTTTTCGCACATAAGTATTCGCTCATGCCTTCTCTCATACTTTGTACTTTTGACCCATAGTGCAATCCTCACTACCTAGTTCCATTGCACCCGTAACATTTGCCTTATCTTTACCTCGCTGATGTCGTCAGCACTATTTCGCAAGCGAGGGTTTCAGTGGGATTCCGTTCCGATGCACCCCCCCATGTTCACCACGTGCAATCGGGTATCCGTTACCACGCGTCGCGGCCACGCACAACTGCGCAGCATTTCCGCCACCTGCACTCCCCTCCCATTCGCCACTTTTTTTCTCCCAACCCAAAGCTGTTGCGCTCGTTTCTAAAAAAAATGGGGCTGTTGGATTGGAAGGAGCATGCTGCGATTCGCGCCGCTCCAAGTCTTCTAAATCCATGTCACGCTCAGCTTTTGTTTTACGAACTGAGTTAGCCCCGGTGTTTCGACGAAGTAACGCAGCGTCACGATTTCTGACGAGCTCTTCTCCATGGATTCCTGCCGCGGCGTTCGTCCTAGCAGCACCAGTATCTCCTCCGACCTGTCAGCACCTCTTCTCCACCCTGCCCCCCCGCAACCTTGCCCACCTGTTCCTGCCGCCTCTACCGAAGCCGATGCCCTCGAAGCCGCGCCATTCGTGCCTCTCTCGCGCGACTCGCGGCCATGGCGGGACCGGCCTTGGCGCATAGCCTTCCTCTTCCTCGCGATTCTTACGCTCCTCCACGCGCTCCGCCTGCTCCTCCCCGCCCTGCGCGCGTCCCCCGGCCCCTCAGCGGCGCTCGTCGCCCTCTCGTACGCGCGCATCGCCGTGGCCGTTGTCGCCGGCGCGCCGCTCATGTGGGGCGTGCTGTTGTACGTGAGGCGGCGGAACAGCCTCACCGTGGTTCTCCCCGCGTTCCTCGCGCTCGTCGCGCTCCTCTTCTTCGTCGGCGCGTTTCTGATTCTCCGCCTCCCGCGGCTGCTCTCCTCGCACTCACTACCACGCACAATCGCGGGTCCCATCGCCACTGCTGCTGCCGGCGCCGCCACTTCGTCGCACGCTCTTGCTGCTACAGGCACGCTCGCTGCCTCAGCAGTAGCAGCAGCTCGAGCTATGCTGACGGATAGAGTATCTTCCGTGGTTGATGCCGCCGCTGCCGCTTTCTCTCCCTCCCTCACTGCCAACAGCAGCAGCGCATTGCCACTCACTCCCAGCCACCTCGCGTCTCCTCCCCTCTCTTATTCCCTCGCCCTGCTCTTCTCCTCATCCCTCTCTCCCAACAACTCTGCACCCCTCACCTCCCCACCGGGCATCCGTCCCGTTCTACCCCCTCCATTCCTCACCTCCCCGTTCCCCACCTCCCCGTTCCCCCCCATGTCCTTCCTCGCCCCGCCCTTCCCGTCCTCGCCTCTCGTTTCCTCCTCCGTGTCGCCGCCTCTCCTATCCCTCGAGTCGAACCATTTCCTAGTGCAATTCTCCTTCCTCTTCGCCCTCCTCAGCCTAGCCATGCTCCTCCTCCTCTGCTCCCGCTCACTCAAACGCCTCTCCCTCTCCCTCCTGCGTCACACCGCTTCCCTCCTCCTCTCTCACTCCCAGTCCATCCTCTACTTCTTCCTCCTCCTCCTGCCCCTAAAAGTCCTCGTTACATCACCACTCACTACAGTCATCAGGAAGGTGTTTGTCCTGTGCGCTATGGCAGCAGGGGAGGGCGAGATTCCCGGTGTATGTGCAGCGTGGTTGCTCCCACTCCTCACGCAACTCGCCAACCCACCGCTGCTGCTGCTCTTCCTGCTCCTGGGCCTGTGGGCTGTTGTGGTCTTCTCCATGCTCGTCGCCCTCCTCGTTGCTGCCCTCATGGGCCACGGCTTGAGCGCACAGGAGGGGGTTCGGAGAAACGAAATCCAACGTGGAAAGCATTTCGGGGAAGGTGCTGCTGGCGACGGTGCTGCTGCTGCCTACCCTGCTACTGCAGGTGCAGAAGGTAACGCAGCAGTCGCAGCGGTCCCCACGCGTTCTGTGTGGTCAGCGGTGCATGCATCGCATGTGCCATCAGCCGTTGGCATCACCAAACGACCCCAGTTCTCACACCTGCCTCTGCTGGGTCACGCGCTCAGGTCCGTCCCTGTGCCGCACACACCTGTTTCTCGACCTTGCCCTGTTCTTCATAACCCCTCTCACCGTGCCTCCCATCCCCGTGCTGGAAAAGCATTGTTCCTTACTTCCTGTCTGTTTTCTCCTTTTCTTTCTTCCTTTCTTTCTTTCTTTCCTTTTTTTACTTCATTCGTTCTCCGGCCATTATCCCTTGCGACATCTCGCCCTGCACTCTCTCCGCAGGCTCGTCCTCACGCGCTCCCTGGGCACAGCTGCAGCGGTGGCGATGCTGCTCATCGTACTGTACATCCTCTTCACCGCACTCAACACCTGGCTGGTGGTGTACGTGTTTGCGTCTTTGGAGGTGCCGGGGCTGCTGACGGGCTCTGCTGCTGCGCTGCTCACCATGGCGCAACTGGTGCTGCTGCACGTGTTTACCTGGTGAGTTCCCTCGCTACTTCTTAGGCCGTGCCTCCTCTCTCCCAACCATCCACTGTCATTTTCTTTGTAAATCTCTAGCAGCCACGCACGCACCGGCGTGCACGCATGCGCACGTGCTCGCATGGACACATATGAGCGTGGCCTGCAGCACCTCTCAACTATCCCCTCAACTACCCAAGTCCAGGCTGTCGCAGGCAACCCATCGTCACCTCCATGTGCATCAGCCACCCCCCTATCATCCTCCATATCCCTGCCTCCCTTTCCTGCCTCCCCTCCATCCACCCATCGCTCTGCCCCTCCGCCACATTGCTCCGCTACCTTACTTCACCTCTACCCCAACTCCCCCAGGTTCGTGGTGCCAGTGGCGGCTATCACGGGCAAGGGCGTGTCGGCTTCTCTTGCCATCGCGCTGCGCCTGCTGCCCGCACACCTGCTGCCCTCGCTCGCCCTCTTCGTCTTCACTCGCATGCTCATTCTCGCCCTTGCCATCACCACCGAAACTCTGCTGTGGCTGCTGGTGCGTGCTCGCAGGGAGGGGGGCATGGACATTGGTATGGTGGTGAAGGAGGGAGAGGAAGGGACACTATGGGGGTGCAAGGGAGGATAACGAGGGGAATGGGGTAATGGGGGATGAGGTGAGGGACGGGATGGGTGGGAGTGGGTGTGGAGAGGGAAGGGTGCTTGTGGTGATATTTCAGTCTGTTTTGGTATGGGTAATCTGCGGGGTTAACTAGCGTAACTTCCATTCTCATTTCAGGACTAGCGTAACCTGCTCTCGTAACATGTATTCCACTTCTTCCTCCCCTCCACCCACCCTCCTTTCTTCCCTCCAACCCCTTTGAATTATGCTTTCATTGAGTCACTGCCACCCAACCGCATCCTCTCTTTTCCTTTCCGCTCCTCTCCCCCATACACCAGGCGCTCTGGCTCACCCCCTCCCCATTGTCCGTGTCGCATGCATGGGTCGTAATTGCTTCCTTCACGCGCCTCTTCCTCTCCTCCATTCTCTCCACTGCGCTCTCCACCCTCACCCTCTCCCTCCTCGCCTCCGTGCCTGCTCTCTACGTCTATCTTGCGCTGGGAGAGAGGTTGGATGCACGCACAGGGGCGGTGCTGGGCAAACAGGGCCAGGAGGAAGAGGGGATACGAGTGGTTGAGGTTCGAGTGCGTTGATTGTAAGTAATACTTGTCATCCCATACAGTCCATCAAGTGGAGGACGCATCGCATCATTTTGAGAGAGGCCAAAGTAAAAGGTTGTTTGTGAGAAGCTGTAGAGGCCCATAAACATAGGAAGGAGTTCACTAGCCTTTGATTGTCCTATGGCAGATCTTTGCTAGCTAAGGCATCTATCTCCTCCCATTGAGGCTGTTAGATGGTGTGTGCATCATACCTACCGTAGTTTGTATGTGAATACCATTAGGTTTTTGTATTTTGTGTACAGTAACCATTCCGACATTTTCTGTCAGAATCTGAGCGACTGGACAGTTAGGATCACAGGGTTTGTTACGGTAAGTACCGGGTAAGTGCGCCCATAACCCCCCAGACTAGCGAGCATGTAATGTAACCCTTCTGTTCCATAAATCCAATCAGGCATCCCCATTGCAAGTCGTCTGACATCCCTCCTCACAGAAATGCCCTAAAACACTCCCCAGCGGAAGCGGCAGCATGTGCACAGATATGGATTCGAACTCGAGACCTTTGCTCCGATACGATGTTAAAACCTCAACCACTAGACCAATAGAAGGGATTGCTTGTCAAATTATATTTGTATGCTAGGCTACAGTGAGGCACTCAGTAGGGAGGATAACACTTTAGAGTTTGTAAATGTACCCATCTCCCCCGTTAGTTAATCATTCCGCTCGTTGAGATTCTGGCATGGTACCATTCGCTAGGTTAGTGTCAAATGTTGTAGTCTTAGTGATGTGTGTTATAGGGGGTACAACAGTTAGGGTTAGGTTTATGTACCCCAACCAACCTTAGTCAAACCAACACTTTCATTCTTGACATGGTATCAGCTAGGTTAGGATCCTGTAGGATCCCGTTCCTCTCGTTCACGTCCGTAGCGCCCGAGCCTGTCCCGTACCCTAGTGCCCGTTACGCCTGTACTGTCCCCTAGCGCCTCTCGCGCTCGTCTCTCTCGTGCCCTAGCGCCCGCTACGCCTGCGTCGCGTCGCCCCTGCTGTCCCGTCCCGTCCCGTCGCCCCTGCTGTCCTGTCGCCCCTGCTGTCCCGTCCCGTCGTCCCTGCCGTCGCGTCGCCCCTGCTGTCCCGTCCCGTCCCGTTGCCCATGCTGTCCCGTCCCGTCCCGTTGCCCATGCTGTCCCGTCCCGTCGCCCCTGCCGTCGCGTCGCCCCTGCTGTCCCGTCCCGTCCCGTCGCCCCTGCTGTCCCGTCACGTCGCCCCCTGCTGTCCCGTCCCGTCCTGTTGTCCCTGCTGTCCCGTCCCGTCCCGTCGTCCCTGCTGTCCCGTCGCGTCGCCCCCCTTCTGTCCCGCCGCGTCGCGCCGTCCGTCCCATCCCGTCCCGTCCTCATTGCGCTTCCCGTCCCGTCCCGTCGCACGCGCCCCGTGCGCCCTGCCCGTCCGTCGCGCCCCCACTACGCCCTGCCCGTCCGTCGCGCCCCGTGCGCCCTGCCCGTCCGTCGCGCCCCGTGCGCCCTGCCCGTCCGTCGCGCCCCGTGTGCCTTGCCCGTCCGTCCCGCCCCCGCTGCGCCCTGCCCGTCGGTCGCGCCCCGTGCGCCCTGCCCGTCCGCGCCTGTCGTGCCCGTCCCTGCCGGTCGCGTCCGTCCCGTCGTGTCGCACTGTCTGTCACGCCCTATGCAGGCCCTTTAGGCATTTAGGGTTTCGGCAGCAGCAGTATCCACCTCTACGCGTCCGCTATGGCGACCCCTAGGGTCCTGCGCTTTGACGCTGAGGGTAGGCCGCTCGAGTTCTCGGTCTGGCTCCTGCGTGCGTGCCGCCTCCTAGAGAGCAAGGTTTAGGCACACGAGACTCTGTGGGCGCACGCTTCCGGCGACCTACCTGAGCCAGCTGACCCTGCACCCTTAGGAGCTGACCCCACACCTGCAGACAGTGACCGTTATGCACACGAGCGTGCTGACGTGACAGCATGGAGATCGCGTGACGCTGCGGCCTGCATCGCCCTCAGCAGCCTCCTCCCTGAGTCTGAGGAGACCCACTTCATTCAGGTTCGCACGGCTAGTGAGTTCCTGACTGCGATCAAGGCCCTCTACGCTACTCCCTCCACTGTCTCTCTTGGTTGCCTGTTCCTTCCGTTCCTGTTTCCTGACCTCGCCTCGTTTGAGCGCACTGCTGACTTGATCACTCATATGCGCTCGCTCGATTCTAGCTACCGCGCTGCTTGCACTGACGCACAGCTTGCACTGCTCCCTCCCCCCATGGCGATTACTATCTATTTCATCGCCACTAGCCTCCTTGACCGCCTTGCCTCGATTCGTGACGCGCTTCTTCTGAAGCACCCTAGCGAGCTCACTATCGAGGTCCTTGAGTCGGCCCTCAAGGACGTCGAGAGCAACCTCCGCTCGGTAGCCTCTGCCTCTGGTGTTGTGCCCCCTCCACTGTTCCACGGGTGCACTCTCCCTCAGCTGCCCACCTTTACTGCCTCCCTCGCCACTCCCGCTACTGACGTGACCGCAGCTGCTGTTACGACTTCTTCGCGGTCTCGGGGTAGGAGTGGCAGGAGGGGCGGTCAGGGTGCGGGCGGAGGCGGCGGAGGCGGTGGGGGTGACTTGGCGAGCGGCGACGGTGGGAGTGCAGGCGCTGGAGGAGCGCCTCGTGCAGCGGCCGGTGACTCCCCTGCTGCAGCTGGTGGAGGTGACGCCCGAGCTCGTCAGCCACCCACTGGTCTGCCAGCCGCAGGGGTGGAGCAGCGGCGTGGTACCTGAATCGACGACAGCAGCATCCCCTCCCCTCGCAACAGCCACAGCAGCAGCAGCGGCAGGAGCAGGTTTCGGGGCAAGGGTCAGGACAGCGTCAGCTGCAGCGCGGTGTCGTCCACCCTCCCTGAACCTATCACGTTCTGATAGGTGCCCGCCGCAGCCAGCCTTGTGGCCGCAGCCACCCACCGGGTCAGTGCTGTGCTCAGCTTACTGACACGGTTCGATTGGCCTACGGCGTTGACGGCCCTGCCCCTGACTGGCATCCCCTTGTTCAGACGTACAGCCCCACTCTGTGGGGCATGTCGGCTTCTCAGTTGGTTGATCTCTTAGGAACTCCTCATGCTACGTATGCTGTTGGGGGTGCGGAGCCTGGGGGTACTGAGCCTGAGGGTGTGGAGCCTGGGGGTGCTGCAACTGAGGGTGCTGAGTCTAGGGGTGCTGAGCCTAGGGGTACAGCATCTGCTTGAGGTCTTACGGGTGCCTCGCCATGACTGTCTCCCCGGCGGGAGCCTCTCTCACCGCAACAGCTGCGCGAGTGGTTTGCACAGCGCACACGCCTTAGGAGTGGAGTTGCATAAGCTGGAGGCTCTACCGCTGGAGGCACTAAAGGTGGAGGTGATGGAGCTGTTAGTCTTGGAGGTGCTGGAGTTACTGCTGGAGCTGGAGGTACCGGAGGTGCTGGAGGTGTTGGTCCTGGAGGTGCTCGTACTAGAGGTACTGGAGCTGCCGGAGCTGGTGGTGTTGGAGGCGCTGGAGCTGGAGAGCCTAGAGCTGGAGGCACTGGCGCTGGAGGCGCTGGAGCTGGAGGCACTGACGCTGGAGGCGCTGGAGCTGGAGGCACTGGAGCTGGAGACTCAGGAGCTGGAGACACTGGTGCTGGAGGCGCTGGAGCTGGAGGAGCTGGAGCTAGAGACCCTGGAGCTGGAGGCAATCGAGCTGGAGGCGCTGGAGCTAGAGGCGCTGGAGCTGGAGGCACTGGAGCTGGAGACCCTGGAGCTGGAGGTGCTGGCGCTGGGGGTGCTGGAGCTGGCGGTACTGGTGCTGGAGGCACTGTCCAGCAGCGACCTTTTTTCGTTCCGCCGCCACCGTCGTCTCTGCCGCCACCTGACTCGGGCCTTTGCCAGGTTCTTAGTCTCCCATCTTCTACTGGGCTTCCACCTAGCTTACTGAGTCCACCGCCTCACCAGTTGCAGCCACAGTTACAACCAGACTCCCCACTGCCTGCTTCTTCTCCTTATGCTGAGCACACAGACTCATTTACAGAGCGTCGTGAGCCTGAGTCTCGTCCTACCTCGCCTGTTCGCGCTGTTCGCACTGGTCGTCGTGTTCCTCGTCCGCGTCCTCCTCCTGTCCCTGGCATTCACATTATGGCACTTCTTCCTTCCTCTGTTCCACTACGAGTTCCCCTGCCGCCTCCTCCTGCGTCCTCTCTTCCTGCCGTTCCTGACCCTGAGTCTGACTTAGCTCGTGTTGCAAGTCCTACTGTCCCTCGTCTTCTAGCCACTGTTGTCACTGACCTTTCGTTTGAGTCCACTGCTGCGTGTACCCTAGTTGCTGAGCTTGTTGACTTTGCTGCCGCCTGTCATCTCAAACTACGCCACTAGTCTTGTTGCTGAGTCTG